TGGCATTACCATAAGCCTCCAGCAAGGGATTGGCTGCAATGATTTGATCCTCCAGTGAACCCTTCATTCAGCAAACATAACATCACGCTTTAGTTTACATTCAATATGTCGGCTTTATTAATACTTTTTTTGCACAGATTTCGTTTACCTGCATTTTGTTCTGGTCAACTTTCTTTCCTCCAGCCACTGCGATTGTCGCAAAGTACTGGATGACACGTTTGGTGTTGACAGTCTTTCCTGCACCGGATTCTCCACTATAATACATAATAGGACAAATGTGTTGGTGTAAGTAAGTAATGATAGACACAGAAATAATCAGTGTTATATCAGTCTAAATAAGTTATCCTGAGAATTGACTTACGTAATCAGGATTGACTGATTCTCACGATCTGTTGAGACAATGACATTTACACACACCCATTGTGTTATTGCATTCATTTATATTCTTAAAAAGTATTATTGCATTATGAATGGTATGAGACCACAGTTCTAGTGTCACAATAAACTGCATGTTTACCAAGGACAACAAACTGTTGTGGAAACAACACAAAACAGTGAAACACAAGCCCCACTTATAGGGTGACCATTGAGTACAGACTGTAGCCTAAGAGCTGACTGATACCTTGGAGCATGAACTGATAGGCGTTATCAGAGATGGAGAAGATGTGGGGTGGAGCCTCAATCCTCTTTTTGCCTCTGTACCCATTGACAACCTTTGAGTCATACACTGGGAGCCACTTGTAGGGGTTCACAGTGACGCAGAACAGCCCTGAGTAGGTCTGTTTCAGAAAGAGGAAATACATATTCAATGAAACATTCATACTTGCAATTTACACTTTGATCGAATACAGTGCAACAGATTTGGTAAATGTTTAACTGGTCTTACGTAGATCATCCATGCTGCATAGCGCTCTTTGAGGTTATACAGCACAGAAGGTTCACTGAGGTGGGTCATCATGGCCATGTCCTCAATCTTATCGTACTTCGGAGGGTTCATGGGGAAGATTTCATCATCCTTAACTGTGAGATTCTGTTACAAAGAGTAAAAAAAGGTTTTGAGGATGTGAAGCACCATTAGAAAAGATATGGTAAGGATCCGCAGACATTACTTGTGTCTAATGTATACATGACTACATGAATACATACCTTTCCGCCTTGAACTTCAACTGTGGCTTTACCACCCTCCTTTTTCACGAGTTTCCCCTTCAAATACATCTCAGCAGGCTCTGTCACGTAATAAGCTGTTTTAGCATCAAACGCAGTATTTTGAGCCTCTACTCTCTCCCTGTTAGACTTCCGGAGGTATAAGGCAGCCGGGCCAAAACACTCCATTTCAGCGTCCGTACTCATGGTTCCTCTGTTAAAAAAATAAAAATGTATAAATAAAATAATGAAAGTAGTATTTAGTATTAAGCTTGATTTCCTTCTTCCAGTCACAGTCACTTACCTTTTTTCTGCCAAGTGATGCAGTTGTTAAATGGATACTAAAAAAAAAAAGAATTCAACTTAGAAAATTAATCATATGCCTGTCTCTATAAGGCAACAAGATTAACAACTTTCTGCAATCTGGCAAAAGAGCTGCTCTTAAAGTAACTCATTAAATGCACTGATCACAGCAGAAAGACTCACCTTCGTTGGCAGCCAGTGAGTACAAAACTTCCGACGAACTGGGAGTGTGTCTTTTATACTGAAATCTCTGGACCCCCGCAGGAGCAGACCTCCCGTTTAGGTCACTGTGCTTCAGAATAGTATGAGATCTCCAGCCCATCATCACGGCTGGTGTCACTTTATCCTGTATGATACGTAAACAACATTAACTTTAAGTGAAACCCTGGGACTAAACGGCAGATTCCTGGAAAGAAGTAAGAACAATCCACCTTGTTATGACTATGAGTTTATACATTTCAATATGTTGTAGTTCTTGGTTAAATTACCAGGAGTTATTGATGAAGGCCTATTAATTATTAGTTACTTTATTACTTTTTTGTATAAAGGAAAATTTAGACTTAAGATATAACTCACATTTTTTGTAAATGTGGGACTTTTATTACAAGATTATTTCATCAATCTGCACACAAGCTTTTTTTAGCATCAAACAAACCTTTGGCAGTCACATTTTTTCAAACATCTCTTGAGCATAGGCCCAAGGGTTCAGTTGAGGCTAATTTAAGACCCCATTACTGTCCATTATACTGTTGTGATTTCTCTAAAGAAAGATGACACCTGTGACGCTGTGAAAGTATTCTCTTGTGGCGGGATTAAGTTGCAATAAAAGGTGATATTGGATATGTCTGGCCTTCCTTTACAGGCTTATTAGGACTTAAAGCAAAAATAGCCTCCCGCTTGCAAATTCCCATGCTCTTACTATTGAAATTGTTTACAAATGCATTGAACGCTTCTGTTAATTACACCTCAGATGTTTTCAGCATCCTGTTACTGAGCACTTCGGAAAGAAATCCAGGCTGTGGATCTACTGAGTGGTTCATTGTGGTTTCTCAATTCACATTTAAACTCATCACCATTTTGTGTAGAGTTTTTAATCCTGCTTGGGTCAGATGAAATACCAAATCAAGATGAAATGAATTAACTATTAATGTGGAACTTTGCACCATTTTAGTGTGGGATGGATTTTTTGGAGCCAATACTTAAAAGGCCAGTGTGCGGTTCATGTATGTAAATGTGGTAAACAGTAATAAAATATCTCGTGTGCCACACTAGGAAATAATACACTAGAGCTTCTGTACTGTAATCATGGTAAAGTCTTTAAAACAAGGTAAATAAAATGAATATGGGATTGAAATGAATATGATCCGTATAAGATGATAAGTATAGTTCATTTTACAAATTGCTTTATTTTCTGAACTTAATCATTAATTAGTCCTACGTTGCCTCCATTGCATCAATGTGTTTGAAAAAAAACAAAAAACAATGCAAATATTTGCCTAAAAGCAAAGAGATTAACACATTGTCAATAGACCAGCTGTAGTCAGCAGTAATAGACCAGCTGCTGGCTTTAAGTAAACGCAGTCGCGTCTTCAGGGTGGCCAAGACATTTCTAAATTCCAAAGCAGCTTTTATTCCCATGTGTGTGATAAATATTACATCTCTGTGCAGGTGGTGGGCAGCACACTGAATATTGTGTGTATATGTGTGTACATTAGAGTGCTTGCAAATGTGTTTGTGTCTGTTTTAGTTTTACTCTTGTGTGATAGAGAAATGTATGTTACTAAGTGCAGAAGGGAAAAGAGGAAAAGAGTGGTTGAGCGAGATTTCTTTGCTGTCTTCTTGAGTCACATCAATTTCAAGTAAGTTAAAAATCTAAAATACATTTTCAACTGTCTTTTTTATTTGTATTAAGCATATATGGATAATAATGTACTTAATATCAGGGTTTCGTCTGCATAGATGTACATTATCCATAATATTAAAGCAGTTTCCTTTTAAGTATAAAACGTAACTTGAATTTCTTAATCTTAAAATGTAAAACTATTGTGCATTATGTTTTTGTTGTCCTAATACCTATGTATTGTGTATGTTATGCAGCGATGGAATGGTGCATGCTGAAAATCCTTGATCTTGCCTGAGAGTGAAACGCCTTTTGCATTAAGTGAAACTTTAAAGAAGGTTAAAATGTCATGTCCAACATTGTTAAATTCCTTCTCTTCATGGAGTTTGTATAATTTGTTTTTAAAACTTCATAATGACTGAAACCTCGATGTAATAATGTCAGTGTGAGTGTGATTTATCAAAACTACCCCTAGGTCATATTTCAAGTTTCAGTCAGAATAAACTTTGTATGAGTTGGTTTGATGAAGTTAAAGATAAAGTGTACAGTATTCTTCCCCCAGATCTTTAACACTGGGGGCAGTGTTTTGTTCTTCTTTAACTCATTTCTTGAATGACATATTTTACTTGTATATCCTTGTATATATTTGCATGTAGTATATACATGTATACATGGTACACTGTAAGTATAAATGATCTGTTAATTAGTGTGTATAAGATAACTTTCTTAATTTTGATCCGAATTAAATTCAAATGACTTACTGCAGATGTTACATACTGTAAGCCAATAATAACTGATGGTTAAATCAAATAAATGTTGTTTAAAAAAGCATGTTCATGTTTATTATTTAATTGCTCTGAACTGCCCCTGTATTTTGTAATTTATTTAATCTGCACAGAAATGCAAATAAAGTAATTTGATATATTGAGAATCGTTGATATTATTTGCCTTTACTGTCAAATATGTTCTACTTGGTCCTGGATCAATTGCAGATTGAATGTTCTGTAAATAAATGACTGATTGATTGTCAATTATGAATCCTCCTCGCTAACCTGCGCTTAATTATTGCAAAAATATTTTGCTATGGTAACATACTATTCTAATAGCTCAGTATTTTATGAACATTAAAGCAGATGGTTCATAGTAGACAGTAAAGACTATCTGGGGAAAAACCAAGGAAGAAATGTTTACTAAAAAGACTAACTTTAGAAAATACATTCTTACTTTGTTTGCCTCGACCCTTTAACAAAAGCATTACTGCGACGCTCACTGTGGGCCCCTTAGGACAGATGGAATACCAATGTGGGAGTAAATTAATTAATGAAGATTTAGGCGCCTATCTTTGGTGCATTACGTCAGCTGCATACAGAAGGTGTCACATAACAGCCTTGTTGTAACAGAACTCTAGAATCGCCTTACTGGAATTTTTATTTTAGTTTACACATTTCAAATCATACTCTCAATAGGCAATAGAAAAGCTGCCAAATATTTATTTCAACAATAAACCTCAGTACTTCCCTTCGTTTTACACTGATTTAATTGATGACAGAATAATCAAGTACTTGGATAATCTTTGAAGTTATTTTGCATGCAAAAATGTATTCTTAAATATTGAGCTTTCCTGCTTTTCTTCACAAATGAAATACATTTGTTCTGGTTTTGAAATTACAAAACAATATATAAGAAGAAATCACGTTGGACTTCAACAAACTTGGACAGACATTTTTCGGACATTTTATAGACCAAACTATCAACTAAGAAATTAATGAACAGTTAATTAATAACAATGGTAATTGGTTCCAGCTCCACCACTTTTAGAATCACATAACACAATGGTCAAGTAGTGAGTAAACATTAGAAAACGCTAACCCTAACCCCAGAAAAGGTTGATACAAGAAAACAATTCTTTCATGATAACTTTACTTTAATATTTTTGAATCTTTTATTTGAAAACATAAAATGTATACAAAATCTTTCAAAACACTGTCAATTACCGACATGTATAAGATTTAAAGATGAATCACATTTCTTTGATATCTAGGTCTGTAAATGTAACATACCATATTTTGAAATGGGTTACAATCAACTCTCTTGGGTGTTTCTTTGCTTTCCGTCCAATGTATGGTGGGAGATTCGAACATGCCTTTGTGTCCCTGAACAAGAAGAAAGAAAAGATAAAACATATCCAAATATATATTAATGAATTCATAGTGCTGTATAGGCATCTATAATATCGCATCAATAAAAACTCATGTTATAAATTCAAAACTCACTGCGCTCATCATGAGTTGGTGATGTGGTGTTATGTTAACACTTCAGAGGTTGATGATAGAAGCTGGTAATATAAGCTGCATGTTTTCACCTTTGCAACTTAAGGCTCCCTCTGGTGTTTATAAGATGTCACTGACCTCTTCCACAAACATTTATAAACACATCTTGTTAAACCAATTAACACCACCAAGGAACTGACAGCTCCCAAGAACCCTCTTGCAATGCGGCCATTCCAAAGTAATACACAAGGGCTCCAGTTCGCTATTATTTTCAGCATACAGTTGAGACAGCAAGGCCAATAATAGTGACTTTAAGAATTGTAAACATTATTTGCTCATCGGCATGTTGACGCCAAATGTCCTCTACTTGCAAAAAGCCATAAGCTTTCAAATTCATGTATGTCAAATGGAGTGATGGGGTCACTCCCCACTTCTCACCTTCACCACCTCTAATCCCAAAGGCTTTACTGCAAGATGGACAAGTAACCACTCCAGACCTAATTTTAACCCACAATCCGCAACCCCTGCCCCAACTCCGTTGAAAGACTGCAAGACAATGAGCATCCAATTGTAATACAGAAGTACTTCAAAACAAGTACGTACAAAGAAAATACATTCCTGAGATGGCCAGGGATTTTTAAGTAACAGCTGCACAGTTAGTGAGCTTTAGATATTCATCCTTGTTTTACAAACCAAACGGAAAGCAATAAAAGTTGCAAACGTTTTGTTTTACTGTTCTAAACCCACTATACGATTTCAAATAGTCTGAATGTCTCCCATATCACAGCATACAGTCAAACTCAGGGTTTAAAGTAAGCTATTTTAGTGAACTTTAAAACGCACGCACAACACCTATAGAAGTTAAATTGTATATAATCAAAACAACAATCACTACAATAACTAAGTAACAAAGTGTTTGTACTTACGGAGTTGAGGATGGAAGCTACTGTGACTTTAAATAACTGTCCATGCACTTTATCCCGGCTTGTAGACTGGAATGTTGCTCAACTCTCACCTTGGTTTGTAATCCTGAGCCCAGTTGTTGCTGCTTGACAAAAGAAGAAAGTGACAGAGGGAGATCAAAGCCCATAAAAAACACAATAAGCCCCTTAACAATTTGGCTTGAGTATCAACACAAGGCTGGTGCTATATTTGAGTTTTGCCCTAATAAGACAGAAGATTTCAAAGGACGTATCATGTAACACATATTCATTGAAGACAGAGGCTCATTATATCTTGTGTGTAACCACTTCTCAATTTCTTCTACTTATCTGCTATAAATAGATACCCTTTTTCTAATTGAAACGATGCCTAATGCCTGTCTACCCAATACAGTCTGGTCTACCCACACTTTTTTGTGCCACAACGTTCTTGGCAAAATCTTTTGGTCATGAGTCCACTTGCACTGGAAGTAGGAAACATGTTCTTTATACATACTTTAATAAACAAAACAGCTTCAAATTGAAAACGCTAAAATTATAATCATTGATTATCACGAAGATAATGAGTCATAGTGAGGTTATTTGTAAACATAAAGGAAACAGAGCTGGAGTCCATCACTCAGCTGCTCTACATTTAGGGGTCGTCTGTGGCTCCTTTGTTTATCCCTTAAGAGCAAGAATGAGAACAGCTGTTGGCACTGTTTTGGGAAACAATCCCCTGGCAATCTTTTCCTTTTCTTTAAAGCTCATTGGAACTCATTTCATTTTAAAATAATTTCTGACTTGTAAGGACTCTGAAATCCTATATCGGTGACATTTTAAAGCTTCATCGCAACACATCAAGGTTGCTACTGCTGAGCCAAGGGACATGTAAGAGATGCATTAGTCATACCTTTTGACTGTTTGTTCTGACCTTATGGATAAACTGAACCTACTTTACATCTTTTCCCCCGTTACCATTCACAGTATCCAACTTCACATGTGCACGCTATATAAGAATGTATCAAACTCATCATAAAAATGTGTAGATACATCTCAAGGTATTGCTACTGTCTTCCCAATGTATAGCAACATGTATTACTGTTGGCAACACAACAGCTTATTTGTTGGTCAATAATCTAAAGCCAAAACACATTCTAAGTCTGACAATGATCTATGATGGAAGACACCCCGTAAACGTCCTAATGTGACAGCTAGAGGTGAGAACTATGCACTGCACAAACATTATGCCAGGCAACAAGACCAAATACAGAAATACATGTGTGATAGGCTCCCATCACACTGTATAAAAGGCACAGCAAACCAGTGAGGACAGGCACCCGGCAAAGGTACGTTTCTTAGTAGCTCAGAGAAATATGATAGATATTATACTTATAATACTGCTATGCATCATTTGTATGTCTTGAAAATATAGAATATAGCATTTGTATGACTATTATGGTATAATTATTTCGCATTAGATATTTCTCACATTATTTTCAGATAAAGTATGATGAAGTAGGTTTTCTAAACAAAAATGTTGCTTCATTTTTTCAGAAATCTGCATTAAAGTCTGCTCACCTGGGGTTCTTCAAGGTAAATCGGGCTTCATATTTATCCTAGACAATGACTTAAAATGGAATATGGTTTAATCTTTGGAGTAATTTGGTTAGTTCTGATATAGTACCAATCTGTTTTTGAAACCAAGATTTAGAGCTACCCAGTACTTGGGAACTAATCCATCTTTGTCTCTGACATTTTCAATTGAATGTAATAATGTTTTCCTCTCATACAGTAAACACTCAACATGGGGGATTCGGAAATGGAGTGTTTTGGCCCGGCGGCCATTTACCTCCGGAAGCCAGCACGAGAGAGAATTCAGGCTCAAACAACTCCCTTTGATGCTAAAACAGCTTTCTTTGTGACCGAGCCTGCGGAGATGTTCCTAAAGGGGAAACTTACGAAGAAAGAGGGAGGCAAAGCCACCGTGGACACCCTCTGTGGAAAGGTGAGAAGGAATGCATTAGATTGAATGTTTCTAACAAGCTGATGTAAAATCTGAACTGCTGACATGTGTTAACTATTTCATTATTTACATCAGTTAAGGAAAATATATATTTTTTAATTTTGGTCTCAAAAGATTGTTTGCTGGAAGACAAATGTATAATTTAGGATTAGCAGCTAAGAGTAAAATCTGATATTATAGCAAACATGACTGCTGGAAATTAATTAATTATATGTGTGTGCCTCTTCTGTCTTTCTAACAGACTATCACTGTTAAAGACACTGAAATCTTCCCCATGAACCCTCCAAAGTACGATAAGATTGAGGACATGGCCATGATGACCCACCTCAGTGAACCTTCTGTGCTGTATAACCTCAAAGAGCGCTATGCAGCATGGATGATCTACGTGAGTTTGTGCAGGAGGCTTTATTTTTTTGTATGCACATGTATTTGTAAAAAGATTGATCATTCTTTGATATTTCACACTGTTGTAGACCTACTCAGGGCTGTTCTGCGTCACTGTGAACCCCTACAAGTGGCTCCCAGTGTATGACTCAAAGGTTGTCAATGGATACAGAGGCAAAAAGAGGATTGAGGCTCCACCCCACATCTTCTCCATCTCTGATAACGCCTATCAGTTCATGCTCCAAGGTATCAGACAGTTTGAAAGCTATTGTGTGTCCAGAAAAATCAAAGCTGTAGAGGTCAACTTCTAACTGTTGCACACCATTTCAATGTCTTGCAGATAGAGAAAACCAGTCCATCCTTATTACGTAAGTGCCAAATATTTTTATATAATCTAAGATATAAGACTTGTTAGCAGAAGTAGAGTCAGACATTGTTAATAATATTTATGAACACACCCATCAACCCAGTGGAGAATCCGGTGCAGGAAAGACTGTCAACACCAAACGTGTCATCCAGTACTTTGCGACAATCGCAGTGGCTGGAGGAAAGAAAATGGAGCAAGCTAGCAAGATGAAGGTAAAAAAGATGAATAATATTAGAATAACTTGAAAAAGTCAAAATGATTATGACTTTTGTTATATTGACAAAATGGACGTTATTTTTAGGGGTCACTGGAAGATCAAATCATTGCAGCAAACCCACTGTTGGAATCTTATGGTAACGCCAAAACAATTAGGAATGACAATTCTTCGCGTTTTGTAAGTATTTTGGGGGATTTTGTGTGTTACTGTCTGACTTTATGACAAAAAAACATTCACATTGACATTAATTTGAATGTTATATTTTTTGTACAGGGCAAATTTATCAGGATTCACTTTGGAACAACTGGAAAGCTGGCTTCAGCTGATATTGAAACATGTAAGATTTTTGTGGAACTTATCACTGTTTTACATCGAGACCAATTCTTGTAGCTGTGCTTCATTGGGAAATGTCCTCACATTTCCCCCAAATTTAAATCCCTACAGATCTGCTGGAGAAGTCTCGAGTGACGTTCCAGCTGTCTGCGGAGAGGAGCTACCACATCTTCTATCAGCTGATGACCGGCCACAAACCTGAGATACTAGGTGTGAGATTAGTGAATAATACTGGCAGTTATTAAACAATTACTTATCACAGGTTTATATTGTTATATCTAAATCTGCTTTATTTTCCAGAGGCTCTCCTGATTACGAAAAATCCATATGACTATCACATGATCAGTCAGGGGGAAATCACCGTCAAGAGTATAGATGACATTGAAGAATTCATCGCCACTGATGTAAGGACAACAAATCATCCTCACTATTATGATCACTACTATTTCTCTATAACACTAAGTAACCAATGTATTACTACTCTGCACCACATCATACCTTATGTGTTCTTTAGTTTAATGAGTATGAGAGAGATTACTACAAATATTTGTATCTGTTGCCTTTAGCTTCAAAGCACAGACGTGAAAAAGAATAATTGTAGTCTTAAACTGACTCTTTCTTTTACAGGCTGCTATTGACATCCTCGGCTTCACTTTAGATGAGAAGGCAAGCATGTACAAGCAGACTGGAGCTGTGATGCATCACGGAAACATGAAGTTTAAGCAAAAGCAGCGTGAAGAGCAGGCCGAGCCCGATGGCACTGAGGGTAAGGAACCTACAGTAGGCTATTAGTTTTTATTTAGTGTTCACGTTTATTTAAGTACTGTAGAAGAAGGTATCCTAGAAGTGTGTTTTTGTTCATGACTATTTTTGTTTTTCTTTTAGTGGCTGATAAAATCGCCTACCTCATGGGTCTGAACTCAGCTGATCTGCTAAAAGCACTATGCTACCCCAGAGTAAAGGTCGGAAATGAGTATGTGACCAAAGGTCAAACTGTCTCTCAGGTATGGAATATCAACAAAACCATGCAAAAAGCAGATAAATTAAAGCAACAAGTGTCTTCATTTTTACAACATCCTTGTTAATTATGTATTATTAATTTCCAAATCAGGTGAACAATAATGTCAGTGCTCTCTGCAAGTCTGTCTATGAGAAGATGTTCTTGTGGATGGTCATCAGAATCAATGAGA